ACATAAATATACTCTAATCGGAGCTGAACATACGAAATTGCAATTACAAAAAGCCTTCACATCCTGTCCGTATTCGTCGAGTCCAGAGCTTGGGTCAATAGTCACGCTCACAATACTGAGTATGGCTGCCTGGTTGCTGTCAACATAAATAGCCATGATCAGGTGGGCAGGCATTCAGGCAGATTACAAAAATGGCGATCGATGTACTTACATGCACATTACGGACATTTCATGGCAAATATAGGTTTAGATCCAAAGGGGATTGGCAAAATATAATATCAGCTGTTGGCTTATTTAAAAACCAAAAAGAATTATACTCGATTTTGGGTAGGAGAAAAAACACTACCATCCCTGACTTGGTATGGTGGATAGCTGAGATATGAATTTAACTTAGCTTGTAAAAATGCAACCCATATTCCATGCAAGCTCATATAGAAAATCCAGAAAATAAATGAATGCATTAATACACTACATATCAATACATACACTAAAACAGCAGGATTCCATTCATATGAGTGAGTGCGTCAGTATGGTATTACGCCGCTTTTAGCAATATTCCAGCAATATCATAGCGGGGTATACAGCAAGTGGCCTGAACAAAAAATAATTTGTCAGTTCATTATTAACACGTTTGTTATAAACATGGTTTACTCTAACCGACTCTGGACCAGACGAACATGTGACTAATGTTATAAACATTGACCTTGATGTCAGGCCATAATGATGCACAATCAGGGAGTGAGTGAGTTTAGTTTTACGCCGCTTTTAGCAATATTCTAGCAATATCAAAGCGGGGGACACCAGAAATGGGCTTCATACATTGTACCCATGTTGGAAATCGAACCCGGGTCTTTGGTGTGACAAGCGAAAGCTTTAACCACTACGTCACCAAATCTGTCACCTCCGTATTCTTTATGTAGCATCTTCATGAAGAGACGGTGGCTGGAGACTGGTTCCATCCTGGTGTTCCAACAGGGTGTGAACACTAGAATACATTGTGCTTTCTGTTTATGCCTTTGTAGTATTGGATTGTATTTTACAGCTGTGATATTTACCTACGAGACATTTTAGTCAATGTATGTGCATTTGAGGATTGCAATGTGGGTAATGGTTTCGTTGGAATGGGGTTTTCAGGTGTAGATACACAATGCCAGGCCAGGAATAGATACAGAATGGTTATATCAGACTGAATGGCTCTTGAGTGGATACACAACAATAAAATTAGAAAGGCAGTCTTCTTGTATAGATACACAACAATTATGTCAGAAAAACATTTTATTGTAAAGATGTACAGCAATTAAGTTAGAAAAGAGTCTTTTTTGTATAGATAGACAACAATACATCAGAAAGTCAGGCAAGCTAGTATATATAGACATTTCTGTCAGAAGGCGTCTTCTTGTAAAGGATAAAAACCAACTCCGAAGTTTTCTATAATATGATATTTGACACTGATAGCAAGACAAAGTCATATCTCAGTTCAAAACAAGTAATAATTCAGAGACAAGGGACTATTCCGCAGAAAATCCCCGGGATGCGGGCAATTCTGTAGAATATCCCTGGGATTTCCCTGGGAGAATACCCGCGAACCTGCTTGAACAGGTTTACTCAGTAAAAGGAGAACCTGGCGAGACAATAGTGTGACGTCACTGGAAGTTTTTAAGTATAGATACACAACAAATATATCAGAAAGGCAGCCCGGCGAGTATAGAGAGACAATTCTGTCAGAAAGATGTCTTCCTGCCTGGATGCACAACCATCATGTCAGATAGTCTTATTACTCACCCGTTGAAGATATCACTGTTTAATAATTTTACAATGTTATTACACATTGTGTAATAACATCACGTGGTGCCGTACGTATGACGTAAAACTGGTTAACAGTTATGACGTCACAATGCTAATACCTCTGTCACAATAGTATTAGACATTGCTTGACTCGCGGAAAGCTGAGAGTCATCACTCTCGTTGAATTCTTAGGAAGAAGTACTTTGCTCGATATTATTTTGCTAATGTTGGGTGAGTAATAAATAAAATACTAAACTATGTCCCGTGTAATACCATATTTATGAAACTCATGAATAGTATTGGTATTTAACTCGCTTTCACTCGATAGATACCAAACCATTCACTCGTTTCATAAATATGGTATTACACAGGACATCGTTTAGTATTCTCTATTTCTTGCATAGATATGCAACAATATTGTCACACATACAGTTTTCAAATATGTCAGGAAGCCAGCCCTGCTAGTATAAAAGCACAACAATTTTGCTAAAAAGTCAACCTTCTAGTATAGATTAACCACAGTCATGTCAGAAAGGCCACAGCCAGAATAAACATTTAAAAAACACACAATCATATGCTCATCAGATAATGTGTATTGAAAGCTGCTTTGAAACGTTCTTTTATATCCCATTACCACATATTCTCACATCATTTGGCAAATAATTTTAATACGTACCTCACTACACAATTCTATTAAACTCTTGTGAGGTAAACTTTTATATCAGCCTCTGACAAATTGTACCCCTATTAATGTTGAAATATCCCTGTTTCTTTATTATCAAAGTAAATTATTAATATGGAGAGTTAATCACTGGAAATGGATTCCGGAAGCCGTGATGGTAGCACGGTAGCCAGGTGGTCTCTCTGATATAGAAGTCAAGATTCACACGTAACAATACATTATGACTACCGTGACGACCTGCTGAAAGGTCTTTCCAGATCAACAATTTGTAGGAAATTGAAAAATGCGATGACGCAGGTACCTTTTGTTAAAGGAAGGAGGGTGGTCCTATATTTAGCTGGGAAAGGGTAGGGACTACTATCCAGACAACTAATGCATTAAGATTCTAAATGAGCAAGACTGTCATTAAAGTTATGAGCAAACTACTCAAGATTGTTTGACCTGAAAATGTGAGTGCTTTTCTTTCCATAGAAATAAAAAAAACGTATGATATGATAAATTTGGAAAATTCAAATTTCTACAATGTATCTTCACAAACTCAAATGCTTGAACAACAAAAGATATGGAGGAAAAGAGACCTTCATGGATAGCTCAAAATGAAAAAGTTCCAGAAAACTGTGATTATTATTTAGTATTATATTGGACGTGTTGTATGACAGAAATCAATCCTTTTCTTTTTATCACAAGCAAATTTTGACATGACATACAGAAGTTATCAGACATGTTCATCTGACAGAAAATAATCCATTTTTGCTTTTTCGTTTCGACATTACCATGTACAGAAACATTAAAGACTTTTTCAGTCAGTAAATCACGAAAAGAAATCTAAATATGAGCAAGTCTTCAACTGTGTTGCAGAAGATAATCTTTGTACTGATGTCTGTACCAAAGACTTTAGATACTGCTAACCAGAAAGCAAGTGAGTGAGTGAGTGAGAGTGAGTGAGTGAGTGAGTGAGTGAGAGTGAGTGAGTGAGTGAGCTGGGTTTTACACCACCTTACAGCATATCATGGCAGTGGACATCAGACATGGAGTTTACACTTGCTGATGTTGGGAATCGAACCCAGACCTTCAGTGAGGACAAACCGAAGCTTTAACCACCCTTCTGAGGATCTTACCACAAATAGTTGTCTCCTCTTAAAGCCAAATAATTCTTCATTAAGCACTTGCAAATAAACTGTGCACTACCTGAACATGATGTATGGTGTCTACCCCAGTTGCTTGTGTTTACTAAAGTACTACTTACTGAAAATTTCGTAAGCTTTTTGACACCTTCAGATGACTTGTGAAGCGAAGCATTTTAAGTGATTTCCTTTTTGAAACAGTTCAAAACTGTTAGTGCAGTCAACCATCATCAACAATACTCCAGAAAAGTAAGAAATTGGGGCCAACCGCAAAGTGTTCATTAGTGGTGGTCCGATTAATTGAAATAATCTAAGATTGGTCGCAGTGACCAAACAACCAAGCAATCGATCACATTTTCTCATAATCGAACATAAACGATTTTGGAACTACTGTTTTAGTCTTTGAATGCTTGACAATGGAACATATCTTAGAAGTTGTCAGGGCCTGAAAACATGTTTATTTCTTAGAAAACTCACTCCACTAACTGAAAAGTCACGACTAAATATTTCTCTAAGACTCCAGGAAGTTTATGTTCATGATATATTAGTCATCACTTTAATGTAGCAAGTAGCAACATGTTATCCTTTTCCGCAGTAACAACCTGGATAGGAAAATCGGAAAAATGACGCTAACCAATTTTTTTCGATGATTGTTCGTTGGTAATGAAGCAATCATCAATTGTGAGATTTCAACCAATTCCCAACACTAGTGTTCATAGAACTACTACAATTGCAAGCCTATGAAAATCTATAGATTTACAATAGTTCGTGAGGCTTCTAATACTTTGTGGATCTGGACCCTGAAGACTAAAACTGAAACAATATTTGAAAATAAAAATATACTATGTTTGTAAATACAAATGAACGACACAATATCATTTAATTATGCATTGTTTCAAAGGCACTATTTTGCAAAAACCTAAAAAGTAACCCGAAAACGAATCATGTGAAAACCTGCTTGAGAAGCATCACCTCCTTTAGCCTATATATTCTTGGAAAGAGCAGGATTGATTGATTAGCGTCAAGCCTCAAAGCTATAACAGTATTTTTCATGAACTTCATTAGGTGTTTGTGGGTAATAATGACTTTGCAACAGAGCACGTTTCTCTATGGCTATATTGTATGGATTTCACCCATTTTCCAATAACTATCTGTGTTTAGAAGCACATAAACAATTCTCCTAGCCAGGATATATCATCAGAGATACCTGGCCCAAGAAATAGCACATTTCAACGTTCTATTTTGTTCGGCTTCCTTGATCTTTATTGTCAACGTGATTTAAATTATGGTTTATTCAAATCACTATGGTTACAGGTGATGCTTTGTTCCTCGTCACCACGACCGTCTGTCAATTGTCTTTTGCTGTCTATTATCGAGCCTACTGAATTAGTATCATGTTTTTTTTTCAGATTCCTGGCAATATGGAGGGTTCAACTCACGCAATGAAACTATAAAATTGCCACCATCCGAAGTGATGCCGCCGATTCTCCTCAGTCAAGAACAGAACTACAAGGGAACGCAGATGTACATGATAACAGGTGAGGCCAAAGGTCAAGGTCAACAAAACATCGTAAGAAACAAGCAATCAATAATTAGCAGGGAGATTGGGTTCTCTAAACAAACTAGGCAGAGCTATGTGTATGATATTAATCAAATGATAGCTCTCCACCTTCTCAAGGTGCCTTTATTTTCGCCATTGATCCAGGATCCTGATTTGGTGGAGACTTGTTCAGCGCTGACCTTTCATAGTTTGGGCTTAGATTAGTTGTATTGAATATCAGGAGAGGTTACATGGCACATGGATGTATTCTCGGAATTACATGATTAGGGTTCCCGTATTAAACAGGCCACATGGACGCAAAACCTTGATTAAGTCAAACCTTAATACACCATAGATCTATCAAGATCTCCCTATCTGTCCCTTGCTAAACAATCTACCACGTCGCTGACATGCACGTTCCGCTCAGCAGGAGTAGATCACTTCATTCTGTGAGTTAACTTTCATTTGACCTTCAAATCGAGGTACACGATAGTCGGTTTATGTTTTCAAATTCAAAACCAAGGAAATTCAAGAAAATGCCCAAATATGAACAACTGACAAATCCGAAGATTAGTGTGGGAAAACCACAAATTCCAGTTATTGCCATTATAATGAAATTCTTCCTAATTCTGATAGCACTTCTGGATTTTTCCAGTCTACTTCATCCCTACGTTCCCAATATGCCTCCATCAGTGAAGATCAATGGATACCAATCTTGAAAACATCCTTCAGTTATAGTCAGCAACACCTTCAACCATTCGGTCACCTACCCAGAAATATTTCTTTACTTTGTCACCTAAAAGCGATGGCCACCCGTCACATCCCGCACCCAAAACAGGTATCATCGACTGCAATCTAGCAGCTCATTTCCCAGCGCAGATCCATTAAGGATCCTGTGATTACCTCCGTACGTCCTGCTGACAGAAGATGAGAGGTAGTACAAAATGGCGGCTCAGGTGTTTCAGAGCAGCCAATTTCAAATCCTCTCCACTCATAGATCAACTCCGATCTTTCCACACACCATTGGCTGTTCGAGAGCTGGCTCATGTTACTCGTTCTTTCCTGGTAGAAGCAGCGTTAACGCATTGTTGAAAACTAATCTGGCTAAAACAACACAGTAAATTCTTCTGAAAATGATACATGGCCATTATGATCGAATGATATTGTTGGTGATGTGAGCTTTTTAAGTAGATATCTGCAGAATGGAAGCTGTTCTCAGGTGACACCATCTTTACTGGTTCCCGGAATTCTTGTGAGAGAATCACCACATTTGATATTCATGCATATTAAAAGGCGACTGTAATGTCATACAAGCATCATGCTGAAAATAGAGATATAACTTATTTACCCAAAAATACTCAGGTAATTTTAAGCATACATTTCATATCACTAAGCACATGCATTTCTACCTAACTTTTAAAAGATTACGCAATCAAAGGCCTCCCAAAATCATTATTTGACAATAAAATTAGACTTATTTACAAAACAGTAACATGCAATTTTGAATATAAATTTCATATCAATAAGTGTCATATTTCTACAAAACTTGTAAAAAATTGCATAATCAGGGGCCCTCCAAACAAATTATTTGACAATAAAAATATAACTTACTTACAAAAAAGTAACATGCAATTTTGAATATAAATTTCTTATTAATAAGTGTTTTATTCCTTCAAAACTCAAAACAGTAAAACTTTTCAATTGTGTGTTAGACTTTCTGTTCATGTTTTCCTCAGCGTTAAATGTTTATCAGGATCTGCAAGAAAGATAAAGAAAATTGACATAAATAGCTGTCTGTTCTGAAATTCACTACCAAGTGATTACATTTCAAATATTTGAGAAAGTTTGACTGTAACTTCCTGTCAAAGAAAACAGACATAATGTTCTTCATCCTCTGCACGGTTGAAACAATCACGCACAGACTGCTAACAACCGCCAACAAAGAAGGAGATGTATTACTCTGTAAGCAACAAACAGACCACCATTTTTATGCCGGTTTGACAAATTGCCAAGGAAAATACGGTTGGATGTATTTCTGTTGCAAATCCCTCACCTATGCGAAGAGATGTCAGAAAAATGTTCACTTTTTATGAAATTTCAAAGAAGCCTGGGATTCTGAGTGGAAGTGTAATTCATGTCTCACAGCCATGCACTTGTACCGCGTCATGGTGCAGTCCTGAAAATAAGGAGCCTATCTGTACAATCTAGTATCCGATTTCCTTCTTCACAGCTCAATTTGCACTGACATTGTACGCATTTTAACAAAATCAGATGCTGACAACCGAAAAAAAAATAAAATTGACTTCAAATACAAATTTAATCATATCCTACTGAAGAATTTTCCAGACACTTTTCTTTACCAACTTGTTCATTTGAGAAAACACCTACTTAGTATTTTCAGAGATTCATTACTTAATTCGTACAGAACCCTGCTAAAACCTTGTTTTCATAGAAATGTCAAAATACATATAGTGTTGCAAGATAAAGGCAGTGAACATTTTTGTGTAGGACACGAACAATTTGTCAAGACAATACGTCACGCAGACGTTTATATAGCAATGTATCCTTAACATAATCACACGGAACTGACAAAAATCCACAAATATCGCCATCTGTGTCAGTCTCTTACTCCTGGTCTATGTCTTTTCCAACTACAAAAATAAACTTGCTCTACACCTCAACCAGTTCGAGAATTACAGCTTGCAATTTTTATCCTTAATCCACATATACTGAGTTCTTAATCAGTAAATGATTATTTCATTTTAACTGAAATGTGAAAAAAAATCTGGTTATCTATTCACATACAATACGCGAAAATTAATTATGTTTATCAAAAAATGTTTTTTTCTTGGATTTTGTTTTGATACAAATAAAATCTTAAATAACAATAGGAAAATAGCATGTTAATTATAGTAAAAAAAACACATTGAATAAAAAAAAGAAGTAAATTAGTTTAAACTTTCTAAAGATTGTTCATATGATGTAAGAAAGGATCCAAATCTACATTTTTGTAGTGGTCAGAATCAGTTGTACTCCCTACAGTCTGGGTGTAGCAGTATCACTCCGTGACTTCGGCTATAAAATGACTATACTAACAAGATAGGATACAGAGAAAGAGAGAATCATTTGGAGATGTGCGACTAAGTGCAGCCACTTTCTAAAATAAACTTTACAACATTAGCGTGGGAGAAACAGGTGAGGAGCCCTTGTGGAAATATTCCGACTTAACGCTGGCTAATTTGACAAACTAGAAACTATTATTCCAATAAACAAAACATGAAACCTTCCTGATTTGACATTTTCCGGGGTTTTGTAAGAGCTACTCCCTTTCTGGACATTTTAAATGCATCTTCCTTTTTATATTTATAAAAAGATAATGTCCTTGACATTTTTAAATAAATATCTTCATTATCTTACATGATGACACTGTGAAATTCAAGTTTAAAACTTGGGTATCTTTTTTAAGACATATTTTTTCTACATTTTCTGTCGAGGGCCTTGTCACAATTGTTAAACAGTTGTTCGAGCATTTGTTTTCTGAATTCATGCTGTCAGTGTTTTACTAGAATTATTTCAAGTTGAACAATCTAAACAGGTCCGTTTTCACTTGAACACTTGAGCACATCATTTAAAAAAATAACATGTCAGGAAAATGCGATTTTTCCTCATTAGTTTACGACCAAAATGATCCACAACATTACCACCACGTTTTGAAGGCAAATGGGTTAATTTGCCTCAGTTTTAGAGTTAAGGTGATATGATGTCCAATCTTTCAGTGGATTTCCCAAGTAAAAGGCGTGAGAGAAGAGTGTGACTTTGATGATACTGCCGAATGGCTGTCGAGAGAGACAACAATCTTTGCTTTTCCTCTAAACTGGGCCTCAGGTGAATTACGAATTATCAACACGTTGTGAGACACCATCAACATCCACTGGCACTCATTGCCATCATCACAGATGTTGGAAACACCCGCTGATATTAAGACATTCCGAGAAAACTTCTGACTCCCTGGCCTTACACACTTCCTTTGAGAGATAGATATGAGATTTTTTTTAATCTTTCAAGATATTTCATTGATTATTCCAGCCAAACAGAATCTTGTATTGTTATGATGAAAGAAATATTGCAAGTTTTGGCAATATTACAATATTTAGGCAGGACTTGTTGATACAATGGCTTTGAGTTCCCCCATCTTAACTCAAAATCAATATCAGTTTTACTCTTAGGGAGACCTTTGAGAATATGTAGCCATCATTAAGTTCATTAACTACAAGATATTGCTCAAATACCATCATAATTTCCTTATCACTTATGAGTCATAAAAAGATGACACAAAAAGAAAATCTGATTATGGCATGTTTTAGGAATGTTTGAAATGAATGTTAAAGGCAAACAGTTAATTGTTTTGAATCAGTTTAAAGGAAAACAGTTTTAAAGTGTAACGCTTCTCAGACATTGTTGGAACTCCATATCTGATTCAAATTCAGCTGAATCTGTCAAAGCCTACACAACAAATTGAAGAATTCATTATGAAGTAATCTTTTGTTGATGATTGCTAATGCACAGTGCTAAATCCTAAATTCAAATATGAACATGCACACACACGCACATGCACTGCAAATGCAAACACAAAAACGAAATTCACAAATTTCGTTAAGAACCAACTGATCAAATCCTAATACAAAAAATCCAGTTTCTCTAATACGGATCTGAATCTGTTGCCCATGAACCTGTAGCTTCAACCTTCAATATGTCACGTACATTCAGCTATTTACATTTGAAATACCATGACAACTATTCATACAAACAAGCTCACATAGTGCTGTTGTCCATACAACTATGTTTGTGTGTTGTAGCATACTTCAAGCACCCCAGCCTGATCTGCAGCCCCTACGCATACAATGCCCACCCAGGCAAGGGCCTGTACATCCAAATGGGCTACAGAGTCGAGCATGAGTATGAGAGGATACCCTTGGAGGCCCATCATCTCTCCTACGAGTGGAAGCGGGGAAACTGTATCCCTAAGATGGGTAGGAATTCATTTCTAATTCCATTCCAATCATATTCAGCATATTGAAGAAAAAAATGATTCCGTGAAGAACAAATGAAGATATGCAAAACAGACTCTTACGCATGTATCTTATTTCCTGGCCAAACCTTTTTGAATATGTCCTAACTGACTTTGTGAGATATGTAAATATTCTATTTCCTGTAGACCATGTTTTTCAAGATGAAATTCTTAGATGTATCTCTTAGATGGGTTTGGATTCATATTACATTCATATCACATACAGCATACCGATTAAGAAATGCCAAAACCAGCAAAAGAAGAGATCTCTAAAAGCATCTGTCGTATTTTCTTGCAAAATTAAGATTAGAATGAAATTGTTTATTGACTTAGAGATATATATGTATTTCATTTCACAAAAACTATATCCTGGTGTTCTACTTTGCTGAAACAATTGGCTAAAGCAAGAAAAGTAAGATACTATTACTTGTACAACTAATTATGGATAGCTGATAGTTAAGAGCACTTCTGGTGAAAATCTGAAGATTTTGTTTGTGTCATGAAAAAATAAATTACATGAATTAGGCATTGAGGTAATAGATTTAGAGTTTTTGCAAGAAATCTTCATATCCCTGTATTTGATTTCAAATAATAACTACATCCTCAAAATGTCCTTTGATGCCACTATATGACTGAAACAATGATAACGCGACATTTTATCTCAGTTCGTGCTACAATGTTCCCTCTACATGCAGGTTTACACTACTTCAAGAACCTGTCCAAGAACATGCCATGTGAACGTCTGTATCCAGTGTTCCTGATGTACAACACAGAGGGTCAACTTGGAGCTTTTGGCTGGATATTCCAAGGAGAGCCAATAAGTCAACCCAACATGGAAGATCTCCGCTGGTTCAAACTGACTCCAACTGTCTACCCGGTAAACAGAATCATCCACTGATAAATACAAGATAACTACCACAATTATGATATGTAATCAGTGATGGATACAATATTCATTAGGAAATATAAAATCAATATATACTGAACAAAAAAAGTTATGGAGCATTAATGCTTTAAATGATATTTTATATAATCCAATGCTCAAACTTCACACAAAAATATAACCTATAACATTTATGTTCTTTGATTCTTTGTTCAGTATATATGCCTCGTTTCGGGAAATAACAGAAAAATAAAAGTTCATGCTGAAACTACTTTTATTCTGCATCGATGACACTATGATTTGAAAAATAATGATAAAGATCAGTAAGAAAACACATGACAAATACAAAAATTTGTCTTTTCCTGTACAATTGTTTTTATCTCATCGTGAAACCTGACAAAGCTGACATTTCCATTTATCAGACCTCACACATAAATGTCGCTTTCTGATTGGCTGAGCGCTCTTCTATTATTTTCAATGTACCCCGCTTACAAGCGAGTAACATTTCAATCAGGGAACATAAACAAACATCGAGGGTACATCAACCCATGCCCCCTCGTGACTAGTGAACAACTTATAATGTTGCTGTCCAAGTCATGAAATTATTGTCTGATAATTATCACACTCATCATCTGCTGTGATGTCATTCTCTGCATAATGTACCTCCAGCAGAAGAGTGAGTGAGTGAGTGAGTGAGTTTTAGTTTAACGTCTCTTGAAAAAGTATATTTTCATGTCAGCTTGACATGGGAGGAAAGCACAAAGTGATGCACAAGCTTACCACCATTGTTGAACACACATGCATGAATATAGTGTTGGCAAACAGAAAATATATTCATGGCAAATTGGGATTTGAACCCAAGATTACAGGCTTTGGGCACATGTAAGGGAAGCAACTCTGCACAATAAATATGAGGTAATCATTGGAAGAGTGAAAGTTGTGTTTATCATGGATTGTTTTTGACTTTGTTGAAATGTGGGTGTGGTAGCCTAGTGGTTAAAGCATCTGTCCGTCACGCCTAGGCCTGGGTTTGATTCCCGTCGTGGGCACAATGTGTGAAGTCCCTTGCACATTTCTGGTGTCCCCCGCCAAGATATTGCTGGAATATAGCTAAAAACAGCATAAAACCTGACTCACTCACTCACTCACACATTCATTCATTCACTCACTTAAATTACTGACCACAAGTCTTACTGATCAAATTCTCTTCTCTTTCAGTTCACGTTTGATACAAATATGCTTCCATCTTGTATGTACAACAAAGAGTTCAGTGTATTTGGAATCCATATATGGCTGCTCAATGAGGACAAAATGCTCTGCCCACTTCCAACTGTCATGCCCCAGACTAAACGCCCACCAACGACCTACAAGCCCAAGAAAACCAGGCCCACAGAGAACAATATTATTGTTGACAAAATTATTCGTGATCGAGAAGAACAATCTAGAAGTGCTGCAAGTAGTGTAACAGGAGACAGTTTAATTTTTAAAATCACATTATGTTTAAGTGCTCTGTTCATGATGTGTGTGACGAACTTCTTTTCAATTCCATCACCAACAGCGTGTGATTCATAGGATCATGTGACTGAGCTACATCATTTGTTTGAGAAGTTAACATTGTGATATAACGTGTCGGTCTAATCTTGTAACTGCCTTAACACTACTGTCTTCTACCCTGCATAGAAGATCCACAAGATTGGTATAGGACCATTCCTTCGGGATGCTTACATGAGACCTACAGGATGACCTTCAGGATGACCTACAGGATGACCTTCAGAATGAGGTCCTCCCACTGGATGCTCTGGACATCAAAATAAAGGTGTGACAGAACCGCCAAGGTCTATTCACAAAATCTATACAAGGTCTACTCAGGATCTCTTCACAGGATTTGGGTCTTTTACCAGATCCATGCAAGGTCTACCAGTAAAAGCATCTGTTCACAGGATTTGGGGTCCTTTGACAGGATCTAAGCAAGGTCTGTTCACAGGATTTGTGGTCTTTTGATAGGATCTACGCAAGGTCTGTTCACAGGATTTGAGCTCTTTCAACAGATCTGCACAAGGTCTATTCACAGGATTTGGGGATCTTTAGAAGATCCGTACAAGTTCTATTCACACAATCTGGGATCTATTCACTTGATTGGGGATCTATTCACAGATTCATTCAAAGTTGATACAGGGTCTATTTAAAAGATGCTTACAGATCCACGAAAAGGTGCTGTTTACAGAGTCATTCCCTGGACACTTACAACAGCTATGTGATGTCAAACACCATGTTCCGAGATCACTGACAGATATCCAAGAGGACATCATCAACTGATACAAGTTCTTGGCCACATCTAAAGTATTTATACACCATTTATCCAAAAGAAATTATGTCAATCAGAACCACAACTGACAATACAAATTCAAGATTAAGGAGCTAACGATGCAACAATGCCAGGGTCACAATAATGAGTATATTTATGTTAACCGTTTTGAATACACGAATGAATATGAGGCAATTGTTTCAGTGGAGAAGGTCACCTCAATCCCATTGACACAAATGACAGTGAACATCATCGCTTCCTGATGCCTGTTTCATTCACTGATAATCTATCGCAGAATGACTTTCGATTTGTTGTGGTGTGTCACATTATACATATCCAACATCACACAGAGATGCAAGTCCTTGTGTTCATTATCAGGTGAGGAACTGACACAAAGAGAATCAGTGCCCTTGATTTTATTCTGAAAAACACAAAACTGGTGTTGTACTTGCAGACTTGGACAACGTGAGCCATTTCTTCCAAAGACTTTATCTGAAGCTTGGAGGACAATGTTAAGTGTTGAAATGCATCACCCTTGGTATTTGAGCCTTAGTCCTGTATTTGTCATTCATTTATTTCCACTATATTGAAAGAGTGCTTTGCTAAGTCATTCTGTGTGCCTGCAGTACCATTTGATTCCTTTCTGTTTTATTAACGATGATAAGTCATTGAAGGAATGAAGGAAAAACTTGTTGTTGTACGTAAAGCGTTGTATCTGTTAAACAAAAATAAATAAACAACTCTGTATGCATGCAGTTTATTTTGTTTCGACAGTCATTGTGCATTTTTAATGAGACAAAGAAAAGAGCTGATCTGGTCCTGTTCCACAAAATGATCTTACCGCTAAGATGATTGTAACTCCAATACTTTAACATAAGGTAAAGCTAGTCGTAGCACGAAGATAATTTTGTGGAATTGGTCTCGGATGCAGGGCCTAGATTTTCGAAGCTCTCTTAACGCTAAGATAGTCGTAAGCTAACGTTAATGCATGGCACTTACGACTATCTTAGTGCTAAGAGAGCTTCGAAAATCTAGGCCCTGCTTCATAAAGTGATCTTACTGCTAAGATGTCCATAACTCCATCACTTTAACATATGTTTAGCATGACCAGTCAGTCAACTCACAAAGATAACTCTTTGGAATTGGTCCTAATGCTCCATTCCACAAGAGATCTCAGTGCTACGACTGTTATAAGTCTATGATAAGGCATGCGAGTTGCGATTGTCTTCACGCTAAGATCACTTAGCAGAACCTAGCCTTGTATACTAATTTCACAAAACACCCAGCCATTTTCTTATTTAGAGATCTTAAGTTGTGAATAGCAGTCCTACTGGTTTATATTGAAACACTTTTATTATAAATTCCACCGATGAAATGTTTTTAGATCTCCTATGCAGGGTGTAGCCTCAATGCAAGCTTTAAAAGCCGACCAAATGACGAACATGTGCACTGTTGTTGTTTGTTCTCATGTAAATACACTTGGAGTTCACTGGTGCATGCAAATCTGTACATAACATATCAAGCATAACAGGACTGGAAACGGTCGCGAACTTAGCGTGTCGTCAAAACCTCAACATGTCGTATAGAAATCATGTTGATCCTGACTTTGTGATAGTCCGTAGCAGTATCTGACAAGTTTGTATTCTCGATGTATGATGAAATCACCGTTCTGTAAAATATGAATACATTACATGCACATATATGTGTAACTAGAATTCCGATGTTTAAGTACCTGTAGAACTGTAAATGCTTTGTTAAATTCTTAATTCTGCTGGCAGGTATGTGCCAGTTGGTTATTTCACATTTTTTCAAATATTTTTCATTATTGCACGAAACACAAATTAGGCCTTATGTTTGTTTTTAGTTGGTTTACGAGACCAATCAACACAAAAATACTGAAATTAGAAAAAAGAAAAAAAAGAAAGGTAAAATATTTTTGTCCAGACTGTTTTGCAGTTGGGTGAAATGAAAATCAAGTGTTTATCATTGTTATTCACGAGAAATTGAGACAAATATGTATAAAAATCTTTAAAAATGAACAATTATCTTTCGGTCTGTTTTTAATTATACTCCTGACCTACATATTTGGTTTTCATTCATTAGTGGCAGTACTAATCTGGAAGTCAAATTTTGTAAACTTTTGACCACTGAAATTGAATTTTTGCTTTAAAATTGTGTAAACCAACTAAAAAAAGTAAAAGGCCTTACATTTATTGTGGTTTGTTACTTCAAAGTCCTATGATATCAATAAAACGTGTATATGATAAAACATGTCTGTTCTCGTGTAGGATTGCCTTTGCAAGATACTGGTTAATCATGCTCTGTTTATGGATTGAAATTTCTTTTTCCAATATTAACTGTTTCCTGTTTCCAGCCTCTCTGATCTAGACAAGGCCATCACATAGTCCATATACACACTAGCGTCAGTAGCTAATGTTTGCCTGACAACTTATTAACACCCCTGAAGCGTGACAGTAGACGCTCCCTGCTGGCTTATTACTTGCAATGTGTGAATTTTTGTGAATAAAGTCCATGTTTGAAATTGTTTCAAGAATACACAAACGGATAATCTTATTTTTTGTAAAGATCATCTTTTCTTTGATGTCACTGACAGAAAACAGAAAATCAGCTTTGATTTGCATTCACACAGTTTTCCATATTTACTTATAGAATTACCTCATGAAACATTCATATTTTCAATCATTGGACACAAATAGCTCCTAAAGACTACGAGTTTTTACATGCAGCTTCCCTTACAACTTATTAGCATCTCCTAACTGCATGGACCAAACAGTTACATTAGGCTGACCACCATGGCAACAAACAGAAAACGCAAATATGTAAATATTTCAAATTCTAATTTTTCACAGCTGAACAAACACAAGAAAACCCACCGTCCGTACCATACAGGAAAATATAAATCCACCACATATTCATCTGGGATTTAAAACTAAGATGTCTTTGCAGACAAATTTGCAAAAATCATTATTTAGTTCAAAATTGGAATTTTTCCTATTTTCATTAATTCAGAAGTGTTTTAACATTTTATTGTAACAAAACCTTCAATAATGTCAAAATATGTATTAAAGTCTCTTCCTAATAGCTTGTGATACCTGAGAAAAAAAAATCAAGCTTTCTAATCTGATAAAACTAAATTTACATGAATTAGGAATGTTTTAATTCTGACTGACATTTGATGCTGATTGGGGCTTTTTATCAACTTCTGACCAGGTTCAGATGAACCTCTGTACATTCATATAAACAAAACTCAACGTTTTTATATATATGGAAATCTTTAATTAAGTACTTAGAGAGCTAACCCTGAGAATCTGACAGTCCATCTAATCAATACAAAACAGTAGCACTGAAAAGGTTCACCCCTTCTGGTTCTGTCACAGGAATAATTTAACATTTTCTCAATAAATATTTCCTAATATTCTCCCATTATAGCAGATAACAGCCAACTTCTCAGCCATATTTCATTTCAGAAATCTGTTACCATAGTAACATATATACTTAAAGGTTAAACAGGAACTTATTAAAAGTAGGTTTTTTTTGTCTAAGGTTTCAGTGAATGGCTTACATTAAACCTTATGGACAGTTACACTACATCTTGTCAAGCAGCAAAAAGGTATAGTGACAAACATGAATCATCTCTTCCTACGATAATCCTTAGAAAATAATATTCTGTGGCATACCTTGCACTGAATGACAATTTGGATAAATTTCAATCGGACGAAATTCAGTTATGTGATTCATTTAAAGAAGAAATTATTTCTAGTGTGTCGTCATCAAATATCTTTCTTCATATCGTCATCAGATAGTCGGGCGGTGGGGTAGCCTAGTAGTTAAGGTGTTCGCACGTCCCGGGTTTGATTCCCCACATGGGTACAATGTGTTAAGCCCATTTCTGGTGTCCCCCGCCGTAATATTGCTGGAATATTGCTAAAAGTGGCGTAAAACCAAACTCACTCACACACACATCAGATAGTCACACCTAAGTACATAAACCTTAAATTAGCGTCAGTGAATTGAACAGACTTCAACTTATATCCTTCTCGTCATCATAAGACATTTACAAGATAAAACGAAATGCTGTAAAAGTGTCTTTGTCAAGATAGCAACCGTAAAGCTGTGATTCTAGAGGCCTGCTCAGGCTAAGAGTAACATGATAGGTTGGGCATGGCTATGCTGAAACTGTAACCCTCTATTTATTGGGCATTAAGAGGCAAACAAGTGTTATCTTGACGATCAAAGAATTAATAATGAATAAATGCCAAGAGGTCATGTCTGCATTTGGATGAGATAGGATCTCTAAGTGAATAGCAAAGCAGTGATTCATCATATTTCACAGAAATGATAATTAACTGACACATTCTGTGATATATATGGCTAACACAACATTCAAAATTGACATAAGCATCTGCAGGAATTCAGGAAGGACTAGTGAGGTTTCCTTGACAACTACTACTATGACCAGTCACTAAATGGCATCCATCTTGTAAATGGCATCTCTCTCACCTGTTAGTTTTTGTGTGGATTAGTGAAAATGAAACGTTAAATTTGAAAGTTCTGATATAAACATTAGAACATACAGGTTACAATCACATACAAAGATTTTATACTTTAAGAAGTGTTTCTTATTTAGATATAACATTAGTTGGTGGACAGTAGTGTTTGATTTGTAACATGTCATTAACCCAGCAACTTTGTAATACGAACTCAAAATCAGGAATGTGTCATATTACGTGTTTATCATGACAGGATTATTTGTTTATCAACTCTGAAACACACACAAAAATGTTTGGAATGTCTATATGTAATTTTATGGACATAAATATGTAAATAACTGATTAACATGATTTTTTTTATATCAAGCTGGGATAATTGTTTATCAACTGTGATATACAAAAAAACAACAACTGGAAATGTCTATATCAGTGTTCATGAATGGTGTTTCAAAGTAACATGACATTGGGTCCTGTAAGTTTCAGATGTCTGCCTGACCCATTGAAAATTCACAGGACCCACAGAATAAAAGTAAACATACATTTCAGATTTAACATTTCTTATAATTGGTATTGAAATTATTAACAAACATAAGATTTATAAACAGCAACCAAGTGTGACATGTCACATATAACAACTTCAGTCAAAGTCATTGTGAAATATGCAGTCAGACACTGGGGCCGGCAGGTTGTACACTTCTGTCGGACTGTTTGCGAATCTGCCAGATTTGTACGAGGGTCAGACGCTATTTGTGAACACTGCTATATGTAATAATTATGTCATTGTCTCATTGACACAAAATTTGTTTATCAAGATGGGATAAACTCTAAAATAACAAAAAACACCACAAAAAATCCCAGGAATGTCTATATGTACTTTATGGACATATAAATATGTCAATGATCCATTAACTCGAAAGTTTGTTTACAAGATGGGAGGGGAACATCCCAATGAAATTGTCCCGATAAACTTTAACATGACTGTGAATAAGGTTAACAAGGCTAACAAGGTTTGAGTGTATCCACCCGAGTCCTTGTCTCTGTAAATAGCTGTTGGTTGTTTATTTAATGTCACCATTATTCACAGACACATCTTTGATTACATCATTACCTCCCATTACTTCATATACACCCTTGCTTTCCTGCAAGTCTCTAAGTGCTACATGACGTGTGTGAATACTGTATATGGATGAATGAATGAATGAAGCAAGAACTGCCAAGATTGATTTAAAGCTTTTCTCCT